TTCTAACTATCTGATAACGAATATTTACGTCATTCAGTTTTCTTATCAGGCCACTTCAGTAGAGGAAACATGTGGTCGCGTTGAAAAAACGCAGTTACATTATAATATTTTCCACAAACGGTTTCAAATTTTGCATCGATGTAAATCGTGTGATTAGTGAAAAATTATTTGCACGTACATATATGTAGATATATTACATGTATGTAAATATAAATATAAAATAAATATAGAATATTTTGAAATATTAACATCGTAACGAGACATTCTGATCGTACGTGTAAAATTTGAAACAGATCTGAAAATTTTTTTTTTATTATTATTATTTTTTTTAATTTGGCCAATTTGGACATTTGGTAGAATTTTTTATCTGTTTGATTATCATGTGGGTGGCTACCCCCAATGGGGTACCATCATCGTGTTTATTAAGATATATCCTTTGTGGGATCTGAAAATGTGCATAAAAGTACAAGATATTTGTTAGAAGCACATATTTCGCGAAAGTTTATCAGAGTATTTGAACAATCAATTATTCGCTGTATTAGTAAGCCACAATACGTAGCGAGGTCATTTTTAGCACCAATTGTATATTCAAGATCACTCTTCACGCTGTATACTAATTTTTCGCTAAGTATATGTTTGTTGTACATATATAAATTTTCAAATTTTACTATTATAATCGCTATAATTATTAAACCGCGCATATGTATGCTAAATGATATTTCTATAAATTGAAACAATTAAAGAAACAGAAAGTAAGCAGAGAAGTATCTGAGCAACTAAATGTTACAATAGATACTCTATTTTGAATATCTTCGAATACTTTGGTGAATGAATGATCACTGTGTAGATCTTTACGCAGACGTATAACGGGTACGTCACATACTTTTACCACGAAATTAATCCAGTTAATCTGATACACCTTTTTTAGCAAAGATTCAACTCGTTACTTGTTGGAATTTCTCGTCTTTTTCCACGTACAAACTGAGAACCTCTGGTCTTTGTATTCATTTGCTGGGAACGGAATGGAACGAAACGGAACATAACCATAAAGCAGAGAAAATACATAGGTTATGGTCGTTGCACGTAACGTCTCTCGCTTCCAAAGCAGGCGCGCCTTGTTGCTCCCTTGTGGTTAAACGCTATCGTATTTCTTTCGTCAGCTTTAAAAATTTGGTTGATTTTTCGCCGTTTCGCAGCCGACGAGTTAAGGGAGAAACTTCGACAATGGGTTATAGCTTTAATTGGTTTGAAGAAACTTGGGAATACGCCATTGTCGAGTAAGAAACTATAAAAGTTTGAAATATTAAAAATCCGCGTAAAGAGAAAGTGGTGCAAACTGGAATAAACGTACAACGACGATTCGTATGGAGAAATAAAACTGTTGGTCGTGATAACTACTTTTCGTTTAGCTACGTCACAGTTGTAAAACTAGAGTAAAATGAAGAAGGTAGACAGTACGTACAGATATCGCGAGAAAATACGCGATAACGAAGGATGCGAAACACTGATCGATAGGAATAATACGACGGTAAATGAGGTTTTCGTCGCTCGAGTCTCGTATAAATCTTATGTGTTGGGAAGTAAAGTTAGGGATTGTTATATATTTATCGATATGTTGTTATATCGATTGTTATGTTATTTATTAGGAATAACGTGATATCGTATATTTAGGAATAAAATAATGTCAATACTTGGGATATATCAATAGTTGGGATACTAAATAAAAATAATTGAACAAAGTTAAATTAAATGAAATTAAATAATCGTGTACATAGTAATATAAAGGAGATCTTTATTACAGCAGAGCTTTTTAGATTAATCGTACAAATATTTCGTACATATGCGCAATTTTATTGTCTATAACTGAAAAACATTTGATAATCATATAAAATATATTGCGTTTTGTTACGCAAACAAGCGTCAGCGAAGCGAAGGAAATCTTAACAAACAAATAACGCATCTCATTGTCAGATTATCGCAACTGATAGATTGCGAGACAACAGGGAGTTATCGATCCGTGAAAGACTGCATATGTCGCATCATAGGTTATGGTATAGATAAGCTCTGTTCTGATAATTGGATACTATTTCACGATATCGTTTCTATACTTCACCTTTAAACTTCCACATGATCTATAGGTGCCGGCAGCACCTACTTGTATTTATTACTTGAAAATGCATTGAATTGTATCGTACTATCTTTGTTAGATTATTTACGATGTTAAAAACCATACTAATATCGTAGTACTTATTTTTCTCATTGAAATGTTTTCATATTTTAATAGCTTTTTGATAAATAGTCACCTTGGTCCTACTTTATTCTGTACGTATTAGGTGTTGCTTTTAAAAAACACGAACAATCGTCTCATAAAATTATTGTTAAAAAAGTCGATAGCGTCTTTCGCGATTTTGGCATATTCTCCAAATGAAAGCAAACACGTAATACGTTTAGCAAATAAAAAGTTGTGAATTGACTAATTCCATACTCGCTAAGTAAACTCAGCTTGTCATAAGCTCGTACATTCTCAATTACATATTTGCGGGTATCAGTAAAATAACGAAGAAACTGTTCTCTTGGCAGAAATCTGATATTAGATTTTATTAATTGCTAAAGACCAATTTCTAAATATTATCAGTGTTTGCTATATTTAAAAATATTCTGTTTGAAAAATATTTATAATTCCATTGCTGTTTAGCTATCTCACGCGTGTCAATGAATTCTGAAGATTTTTTGGACAATAAATTCGGTCTAATCACTCTTTTAAAGCAAAGATATAAAAACTGTTGATCTGCTTTTATATTCTTCCGCATATTTATTAGATCACAATCTCTATGTACATAATTACTGTCCGAAATTCATGAGATTTTACGGAACTCATTTTGATTAATTCTACGATATTTGTATTACGCTGATTCAATATAACTCAAGTAGTAGACACGGAGGCTTCGAAATTACGATGTACCCGCTAATTTCACAAGTACACAATCCCAAGTATGTATGATTATGAATAGCTATAAATGAAATGACAGGCATTCCTTAAATCCTATGGAAGTTAATGACACTTAAACTAAGTACGCGACGAATATCTTTCAACTGATATTCCATCGGATTCGCGCACCCGCCTTGATGATCGCGAGTTGATGGCACGGTGAAACGCGCGAGGAGAATATCGATGTACAGTTAGGTATGTTCGATTCTGACTCGATTCTTCAAAAAATCAATTCTTTCGGTTAAAGAATCGGAATCGATTCTTTACTGTCGGTTTTTCAGCGAATCGATTTTTTTTATTACGAAGGAAGATTTTTCACCGTAGCAATGCGGTAATTCTTCTTGTGCCAAAACGTACGAACATGCAAATTTCCAGTTTGCGATTAAGAATCGATACGAATATCTTTTTCTATTCCCAATTATATTCCGAAACGATTGAATCTGCATTTAACAGATAATAGCAATAATGATAATACTCCAAGCTTGTCTGGAGTTTAGCATTTATAGAATCTAAAAGGATAGGGATTTAAATCTGAAAAGTTACACATCTATGACTTTGGTGTAAGATGCAAGATAACGATATATATCCATGAAAGATTGAGAAGCTTGAAATATTGACGGTATTATCGATTGTCTGAGCCTAAGAATCAATCTCTAACAGTCATATAAAATTATACATATATACATATTTATGATTTTTAACAATATCGATTCTTAACGATATTATTGATTGTCTGAGGGCACCCTAGAAATCAATCTAGAAATCATAAAAAATAATACATATATACATATGTATTTACGATTTTTAAATCTATTCGTCGTTCTTCGGTTCTCACGGTGGAGCTCAGAATCGATCGAGAATCGACTTTTTTTAAGCGAATCGAACATCCCCAGTCTGTGCAAACTGTGCAAAATGCCGCTCGGCATCCCGAAAGGTAATACAAGGGGGGTAGGAACGAGTGGTAGTAGTGGTTGTATTTGTCACCCCCTCCGCCTCCAAGT